ATTGTGATTGTTGTCTCCTTTATTTATTCTTTGTTTGTTTACTTATTTCTTAGCTCCCACTCGTGAGTGAGAACATGTGGTATTTCTCTTTCTATGCCTGGCTTGTTTTACTTAGCATAATTTTCTCCAAGCTCATCGATGTTGCTGTAAATGGCAGAATTTCATTCTTCTTTATGGCTGAGTAGTAGTTCATTGTCTGTATATACCACATTTTCCTTATCCAGTCATTTGTTGATGACTGGTTGCTTCCATATCTTGGCTATTGTAAATAGAGCTGCGATACACACAGCAGTGCAGGTATCCTTTTGACATGATGATGCCTTACAATTTTTATTAAAAAATTTTTTTAATGTTAAAATCCAAAGGCAGTATTTCATATTACTCTTTCATAAGAAGTCAGTTCTTTGGGTGGCCTTGTCTTTTTTTTTAAAATTTTAATTTTATGGGAAAATGCTACCAAATTTGTGATCATGAGAGTGTGGTACTCATCAGTGCCAGATTTGAGTCCTAGCATGCCATAGAGAATGGAAGAAATAATTCTGGAGTAGTTTTAAGTAAGATTGTAATTGTATTTACACATGTTGTTGTAAAAAATGTATGATTTTTTAAATTTAGTTGTAGTATGTATAATAACCTAAAAGGTCATCTACACTGAATCTAGCATCATGCTAGAATTTCCTTCCTTAGACAGTAAGATCTTGAGGAAAGGGACCATGTCTTATTATCTTTGCTTCCATGCCTATGCATTGCTTTGCATCTAATTATCGCCCAATAGATAAATGTTTTTGGAGCAAGATATCAAAGTTAATCTATACCATTGGTGATGCCATGATATCTGAGCTTATCCATGCATTTGTTGATTAATTCAATATTCCTTTATTGTCCGTTCTTTGACCCTCTCCTAAGAAGGAGTTCAGAAGTCAGAATGGAGGACAGCATGGAAGAGTAGGTAGGTTCTAATTCTGGTGCTGCCATTAAGACCTGTCCCCTGTTTTCACCTCAAAAATTTCTCTGTGAAATGAGGTGTGTGTGTGCACACGTGTGTTTGCACTTAAGATAATTGTATAACAATTGAAAAAGCTACCCTTTCTTAGGCACCTGTTGTGAGTGGGGCACCTTACAGCCATTCTCTCATTTAATATGTCCAACAACACTCTAAGTTGATATCACGATCCCCATTGTACAGGTGAGGAAACTGATGCTAAAAGAGGTTGAGTAACTTTCTAACCACCACTGTAGCAGAGCTGGAATTCAAAGTGAGATCTGTCTGACTATTCACTGCCTTGCACAGTGAGTCTACAAGCCCTTTACGCAGGTCTTGCTTTATAATAAGCTCAACTCTCTCTTAAACATTTGCTTTATGTTTAACACTTTCCAGAATTTTAGCAGTCAAAAGTCACTGGAGTTTGTTACTCCCTAACAGGAAACATTTCTCTGTTTCTTCTCCCTATATCAATCCATTGAATATCGGTCCTGGACCTGGGATGCTTTCAGATCTGCATCTACTATGATATAAAGATTTATACTTGTGTCTATCTACAGTTTTTCCCACAGTAGAGGTAAAGCAGGTTTAACTGCTGAATCTGCATCCCAAGAACTGAATCATTATTTTTTGCTTTTCAGTTCACCGATAACTTTATGAGGATGGAAGGGTCCACGCTTGTGGGCCAGGGGAATATTCTCACAGATTATGCCTCTGAGCAGCGCTGTATATAGTGCTCATAGGAAACAGTATTTAAAAAATAGTTTGTCTTTGCACTTGGAAGAGTTTTCATTGTGCTGTGTTCTAAGCTGGAAAAATAGTCCTATGGTATCTCGCCAAAGTCTGAAAGGAGTGGTGAGTGGGTAGAGAATTAGATCAACGACATTTGATCATGACTCTTGGCTAGGCTGAATGAGCCCCTCATAAGGCTAAGCTGGAAGTTGTGATTTTTGTTATTAATAACAAAAACAAAGTACTGAGAACAGCATAACCCCCACGAAATGCCTGGATAGCTTAGAAGAGCCATAGATCATGACTCTTGGCTAGGCTGAATGAGCCCCTCATAAGGCTAAGCTGGAAGTTGTGATTTATGTTATTAATAACAAAAACAAAGTACTGAGAACAGCATAACCCCCACGAAATGCCTGGATAGCTTAGAAGAGCCATAAGTAGGAAGGGATTTTCTGACAGATTAAACTCCTTATGGGGTACCGTGGGACTCCAGAGGAGACCGAATGGTCACTGTCCCTGAAAGGTGAAGAAAGATGGATTGCTGTTATGGAGGAGACTGTCTCATGTCTTGATTCATCCATCTATCCATCCATCCATCTATTCTTTAAATTGCTACTGAACTCCTGTTGTATCAGGTAACATGCTGGGTGTTGGGGATAGAAAAGATGAGAGTAAGATACACCTCAAGCAAGTTCCTAACCTCTCTGTGCTCCAGTTTCATTATCAATAAAATGTGACTAAAATCCCCTGCCCTTAGGGTGTTGAGAGGATTGAATGCAGTAATTCATGAGAAGGTCTTTGAACTGGGCTCGGTGCTTGGCGAGTGCTCAGGAGAAGATAGCTACTGGTGCTGGGCTGCTGCTGTTAGTATTATTCAAGGAGCTCAGAGTTTCAAGCAGTGTCTCTTAATGGGGGGAGAAGTTTGCCTCCAGGGGGTGTTTGGCAATGTCTGGAGACATTTTTGGTTGTCACCACTGGGGAAGTGCTATAGACATCAGGGATGTCTGTAGAGGTCAGGGATGTTGCTAAACACCCTACAATACACAGCATAGCCCCCCATCGGGAAGAATTATCCCATCCACATATCAATAGGTTGAGAAGCCCTGAAGAAACAGGCATGTCAACTGATAACTAGAATTTACTGCAACAGAACTATTGGGACTATGTGCCTAAATGGGAATCCCATTTAGGCAAGCAGAGGTCAGAAAAGATTTTGTGGCTATTTATCCCCTTTAGTCTGCACAACTATTCTGTGAGGATGGTCTTTGGTGCTTGTTGACATAAGAGGAGGGGGAGCAGCAGGAGG